ATATGGCTAAAAATCATCAAGTTGTTTTAAACATTTTAAAAAAATATAAAATACTATGACATATTTTTTTTTTTGATATTGTTTGAATTTTATAACAAGTTTGTAAAATTTCAAAGCATTTTAACCTTTATTTCAAAAATATCATTTTTTAAAATTTGTTTCAAACCTATATGTAAGATATATTTATAATATTAAAATAATATTTTTTTTTTTTAGTATATGAGATTATAAAGTTATATGTAAGATATATTTTTAATATTAAATAAAAATATAATTTATTTTGTTTTTTATGTTGATAGTAGAACGGTTAATTTTTTAACCTAATAAGAATATATGTTTAAATTAAAAAATAATAATAATTTTTTTATTATTAACAATGATAAATTATTTATTTTTAGTGATTTGTTGCTTCCTCACTTTAAACTATTATTGGTTTTTTTTTTTTCAGTACCCTATCTCACCTTCCTCGCTTTAAAGTTCATAACTTGATATTTTTAATTATTTACATGGAAAGGAGAAAAACTAAATTTGAGAAAGGATATTTAGAAATCTAGAAATTTCAACTTATAAACTTTTCATCAACTCCTTTTTTTTTATAGTAAATTTTAAAAATTAAAAAGTTAAGAAATTAATTAACTCCTACCATTATCAATATTTAATTAGCCATTATAGATTAATAATTAAATATAAAAAAATAAAGGTTTTTTTTAGTTGAAGAAACAAGTGTTTTTTTTTTAAAAAAAATTAATTTGCCATTCAGTAATAATTTACTTAAATTATAAAATTAAATAACTTCCCAACTGTTCAAACATGATCCATGATCCATGATGCCTAAAATAACACATCCTTTTTTACTAAGCAACTTGCCTACCCGCTTCTAGAACTACTTTTTGCACAATCATAACACATTCTTCACATCGTTGCAAATGAAGGGCTCGCACAAACCAAATCATTGGTACATAAATCATGTTCGTAAAGGATTCTAGCTAAACATGCTAGTGCCGGGACCACGGGGATTTTTAGATAATGTTTTGCTAAAAGCATGTTTATAATTTTTAGAAATGAATTCAATTTAAATGAATAAATCAATTTTTGAGTTTATAATTTTTTTAAGGATATTTATTTAAATCTTAGATAGTACAAGAATAGACAAAATTAAATAAGAGGAGAGACCCTCCAATTTGTAAATCAATTCCTTTTAAAATCAACACTAAAAATATTATTACAAAAATACCCTCTTTTTTTTAACTGCTCCTGAATGAAAATATCTCGTTCGCTTTCCAAGGAACAACGGAGGATTGGGAGCTTCTACAAAGTTCACCTATTCACTTTCCGAAGAAACCTTGAGCTCATAGTAGATAGATATATCCGAGATTTACAGAATTCATCCCTGCAGGTTGAACTCTTAATTCCACACATTCACTTGACTGAAAGATCTCAGTATCTGGGGCCAGTGCAGTGTTATAACTCCAGCTAGTGTTTGATTGCATTTCATATATGGTAGGATTTATTTTGTATCGCATATCTGTACTCGAACAGGTGTACTTTCATTGTGCTTTCTATTTTTATTTTATGTATCTTGTATTTAGCTTTTTTATAGTTAGTCTTTTTAATATATCGACTTCTTTAACATACAGAAAAGATTGCAATCCAATTTCCTCTTGGGATTGGTTTATGGTGCTTAGTTTTCTTGTAAAGTTAAAGTAAAAGATGAGGGCATGGCTTGCGATGCTGAGTATGAACAAATAACCTTCTGATTGAGTTGAAAATAAGTCAAGAGAATGATCTAAGAAAAACTTCATGCTGAAGGCCAGCATGAAGAAGCTCGGCGTGATTGATATTTTGTTCATGAATAATTTATTTATTAAGAAGATGAGCATCATGCGACTCTGAATTAATAATAAAATCATCAAAATTGCTAATTCAATTTAATTTTATAATTATCTTAAATAATATAATGATGTAATTTAATATTTATTTTGAATATAAAAATCATAATAAACTATCAATTAAATTTGCTAATGAATTCCAAACATGCCGCAAAGAATATTCCGTTTTCATGTTCGATTTGTTCCATAAAGCAAGTCAGGAAGAGTAATTGCTTGAGCAAGAGTCATGCTTCCCTCCCGAGAAATCGAGCGATACCCTTACGCGTGCCATCTTGTGAGGAATAATAAATTCCCCCCAGGTAACACCTTCAGAACATGTATATACGGTGGTCACAACTCACAAGACTCGCAATTGCTGCATGAACTTATTATATAAATATAAAGTGGAAATGAAACATGCAGCACCAGACAAGGACGTGTAAATAAATAAACGAAACACGTAGACGACATGGAAATAGTTCACATCCCCGCCTTTCACGGGTATTAAAAGCATGTTAAAATTGCTTGTAGCTGAGCCGCGCTGCTGCAGCTGCTTTTCGTGGAGTTTCCGGTGCAAATTGCGTGCTTGGTAAGAAGAGACATCTACTGTATATCGGCAGATTCGGCACTCCAGCTGGTTGCGTGTGCTGGAGGATATGGTATTATCGAGGGCCCTCCCTGCCGATTAATAATCACGACCTTGACCCCTTCCTTCACGACGAGTCTAGCATCACGTTGTTTATATGCGAAGATACCAAATGGCGTTGCACACTGGGTCTTCTATAAAATCAAACCTTTTTTTTGAGTCGATTATCGAGACTCTGCCACTTACCTGTAACACGTGGTCACAGTATCTCGAAGGATTTCGGTCACATGCTCCTTGAGCCCGTGTTCACGTTACTTGATGTTGTGCTCACAGCTGCCCACCTGCTGACTAACATCTAAACCACCGAGCTCCAAATTTCTTGAGCCCCATTTTTCTTATCAGTCTAGCCCGTTGATTTGGTCTTCGCGCATGGATCATATTTAATTATCTAGATCGTCGAGATTCAACTGTGGTGGAAGTTAAATAATGTATACTCTATTATTCGAGACTACTTGTCCAATGTGTTGAGAGAAGGAGCATGAGGAGTATTGTTGACTGACGAGGACACTTAGGACTTTTTGAACGGAATGAAAAATATGGCACAGTTATTTAAAATAGAAATCTCACCTACTTATTTCTATTCCACTTTCCAGTCTTGTCAGGGATATTTCAATTCTCATTTTTTGTCCACAGGGAATGTTTTTCTTCTTTTCGATTTTTTTTTTATTGTTCGGTTTTCTATAATGTTGGATAATGAATAATCCCCTTTTTTTTTTGTATTAAATGCCGTCTGCCTTTATTTACTATCAACCTGTTATAAGCTGCACCAGAATTTAGATAAAATTTGAATTGATTTTTTAAAAGTGATTTTTTAATTCATTTTAATAATTTTTAATATTAAAAATATTTTTTAAAAAATAAAGAATTTATTACCATATATTTTCAAACAAAAAATATTTTAAAAAATAATTATTATTATATTCTCGGATAAACTCTATGGGCTGTACTGGAGAAGTGAAGTGAGTTTATGCTATATAAAATATACTTTGAGAGTAGGAGCTGAGATATTTTTTTTTGTTTTTTGTTTTTTTTAGTGGAGGTGAGAGGGAAGGGAAGTAGAGCCAAACAAATTACTATACGTTTTTGGAATGGGGAAATATTTTCATCACCGCACCAAACAATTAAAGATCCTTTCGAACGAGACAACAGCATATTTTGTAATAAATATTGTCGTGACTTGAGATGATATATAGTCGACTATTTCGTAAAAATATTCAAAATTGTTTTCTTTTTATGTGCATCCTTGTATTACTTATGTTTCGTGGGTTTTTATCAACAATGAACTAAATGATACTCGAAAAGCGGTCAGCTTAATTTTATTTTTAATTTTTTTGACAAAGTAACAAGAAAATAAGAGTACATTGTTTTATTTATATATGTAAGTTGAAAGATTCCGATGATCAATTATACATCATTGAATTGATCTTGTTTTAAACAATGTCTTTATAAAACAGAATAGCAAAAAATCCTCCATTTTCAAGGAAAAAAACGTGGGAAATCAAATAAAATTACAATTTAATTACTGTATATCTAGATACAAAATATTATCTATTATAATCGTATAATGATAAAATTGCCTCTTGATTATGAACGTTTAAACTCGGTAGTGAAAGTAATAACAACGGCTGTTTCGGTTCTTTCATACACTTGTCAGCCATCCACAATGTGACGACAACCCCAATCACTTGTTTGCTGGGAAATTAATTCGAGGAGAGAGAGAGAGCGGGGGGACAAGAGTAACCGAGAATTTTAGTTTTTTCATAAAATATTAAAATAGATGTTGACCCACTATTTAAAATGTAATTTTTAAATTTAATAAAAAATCATGAACAAATCTTGAGATATTTAATATTTTTTTTCAAAAAATAAATCACTGAAAAATATCTAAAGGGATATCCTAACCAATTTAACACACATCAATGTAAGTAGATAAAGGAAAAATCAAAATAGTACAAGAAAAAAGAAAAGGACCTGCACGTGTTGAGGTGCAAATTGCATGAGAAGAAAATAGGTTCGAGATTCAAACCCATTCCAAGGGACATCATGGTATTTTTCTTTTTTGCTTTCCAACACAATTTAAAAAATTTCAATAATCTAGCAGCACCCTAGCACTGTTCAATTTATATATATATATATATATATATATATATATATAAAACTCACGAAATCGGAAATCAACTGAACTAAGTAACAGAAGTCAAGCGGGACATCCTGACTTCCTTGTGCTCCTAAATAACCAGCCTAGGTGGGAGCGGTACCCTTTGTTGCGGGCACGGAAACCTCGTGGAAGAGGTGTGCCAATTTTTAATGAGACTCCCGGCCCCACTTCCCATCTCCCGAGAATTGTCCAAACTAGTTCTCTCCGTCAAATCTCGTGCATTTTATAATTAAAGAAAGGAGTCTCAACATTTCCCACTTTAAATACCAAGACCCATCGTCTCCGTTGTGCAGCAGATACCACCTGTTTTCGGAACAGTCATCGAAAAATCAAGGAAAGCAAATGAAAATGTCGAGAGCAACCGTTGAACTTGATTTCTTTGGCATGAGCAAAGAGAACCGCTCCTCCTCTTCCAAATCCAAGTGTTTTAATCGCCAAAGAAGCTTTCGAGGTCTGTTTTTGATTTTTCCATTCCATCCTTCTTTTACTATTGGAATTCATTCTTCTTACAATTTTCTCGTTGGGTTTTGTAGACATTCAGAGTGCCATTTCGAAAATAAATCCTGAGCTTCTAAAATCTGTGATTGCCTCTGGTTCTGCTTCCAACAAGTCTACTCCAGCTGACGGCAATCAGTTGTCAAACAAGGCATTCTCTGTGCCATCGACTCCTAAACAAGATCTGCCTCCATTTCCTGCTTTGCCTGTCTATTTCCCTCTCCCAAGGTACTCAACTCTCAACTGACAGTTCTCCTAATGAGCGTTTTTTCTTTTGGGGTAATGTTTTGGCGCTTAATACTCGATATTACTCGTGTTCTAGGCTCAATTTGGAGAATCCTCCCGAAACCGCCCCCTTGACCATTTTCTACAATGGAACCGTCGCTGTTTTCGATGTCCCTCGAGACAAGGTATGTAAAATATTATGAATTTTGTTTGCGCTAATAAATGCCTACGTGTTGATTCTTGTTTATTTCCTTTGTTAGATTATTAATTTTTTTTTTAAAAAAAAATATACAGGCGGAAAACATTTTGAAGCTTGCTGAGAAGGGATTCTCCAAGACCGTTGTTGAATCAGTAGCCGATCCAAGAACAGATCACCAACAAAAGCTTCTTGAGAGTCTTGGTGGAGGTTTGTGCTTTTTTTCTTTTGCTGCTTGCCGTACAAATTTGCGTGGAATGTTTTTCGACCTTTTCATATGCAATGGTTATATGCTGACAACGGAAGCATTTGCTGCTGGTCTGTTGAGCAGATCTGCCAATAGCTAGAAGGAAATCACTGCAGAGGTTTTTGGAGAAAAGAAAAGAGAGGTAATATTCTCCTTTCTCCCTCTCTTTCTTTCCCCCGACTTCATATTGAACAATAAGGTGGTTTTTATTTTTGTTTTTTGCACATAGCTTAGATTGATTTTAATTTTATTTCTAGATAGATGAATGAATGCTTCGGATGGCACATATTTCGTATCTATCAATTCATTTTGTTTTGGTAAGTAGAATTTAGCTTTAATTTGTTTAGATTTTAGGCTGATATTAATCCCTTCTTTTCTTCTGTAAAAGACTTGGTTATCAGGGATTTTTAATGTATTTTTAAAAAATTAGCAATCTTATGCTTAATCAAAATGTGATTAGCTAGGTGTTATTAACAATATAAATATGTATATTGTAGTGTATTAACCATTTTAACAGGTATTGTAATTCGAAACATGTTATCATAGCTAGATCGTACAATTACTTGGATTCATGAATCGTTATATTATTTAAACATTAAAAAATATTCCTAAATCATAATTACACGGGAAGGCGCCACCAATTGATTGAATTTTCTTTATTAAATAATAAAAAAAATAAAAATAAAAAGATGCCGACATTGTTTTAGACATCGGCAAGATCTCCGTGTCTGTGTTTTTCTCCGGAAAGCTTTTTAATAAATAGAACGCGTTTTTGATGGTTTTGTAGGTTGACTTCGGCGACCCCGTATGCTTGCACACATAAGACGCGTTTTTAAGGCAGGAAGACCATGAAGAACCGCCGGAAAGATGAGAAAGATGGTCTCAACATCAAGAAAAGGAAAAAAAAAAAAACAATTGTCGGAATATTTTTTCCATCTTTTTTCTAGCCGGTCGGCGTCTAAGCTGCCTTCCCCTCTTTTGACTGATAGCGATACGATAGAAGGACTCATAATTATATTATATATGGGCTTAGTAGGGTCCATGGTTGTGTTTCAGAGTCACGTTTTAGTCATTGTCATTTGGCTATCACCTAAAAATTCTAAAATACGCGTCCATCTCCCACCTTCGGCGTAGTTTCCTATGGTCTCCGTGTCTATTTGGGGCTGTATTTTTATTATGTCAGAAGATGGAGATCACATGTATACTGCTAACTCAGTCTGGAATGTATTTTTTAATACATATATTTATAGTTGTTGGGTTGTTTAGTTCTTTTCGTCTGCTTTTGTTCATCTATTTTATAAATGTTTTTTATACTGTTATATGGATCCTCGATCATCTGATGCTGACTCTAATTAAGAGATTTACTTTCGTGAAAATTTTAAAGAAATATGAATTTAATAACGACTATGTTTTGTAATTATTATTTAAACACGCACGTTTGCTCGCGATGCTGAAATGCAGTCGCCAATTAGTCTACAACAACTGCAATAAATATATATTTTTTGTCGACTAGTGCTAATAGATTATAAAAATTATATTTTAAAATATTTTTGTAATGTATTAAAATAATATATATTTTTTATTTTTAAAATTTATTTTTGATATATAATCTAAAAACATTTAAAAAATAATTTTTTAAGAAATTAATAATTTTTAAAAATCAATCTCTTAAGAAAACGTTTCCTATAAGCAAATCAAAACACTCGCCGTTCAAGGGCATGAATGGCACCTTCAAAGCTTTGAAAATCTTCAATTTCTCATTTTTTTAGTTTTTCAAAATAGAAAAGCATTTGGCATCCCAAGAAAAAAGAATATCATGTCTTCACTTTATTCTTCTTAACTTTAATTTATCCCGAAAATCATCGTCCTAGCCTTTTCATTTCGGCAGGCATTCCCATCTACAAAAACCTTATTTCCGCCTTGCTACAAGAACCACTAACCATTATTGCTCAGAAAAATACATTAACATAAAAATTTGATTCCAACTTCTTGAACTTAAAAAGAGCAAATTTTTTAATTAATTAAAAGCTAAAAATTTCGTGCAATTGTAATCATGAAGCACTTAAAAGCCAGAAACTTAAGCGTTTATATTAGTGCGAGATATTTTTTTAATTTCTTAAAGCATCAATTCTTGTTAGCGTGTTTTCTATGTAATGTTTTTTTTTTTTTAAATTACGTTATCTAGAATAAAAACGCATTCAATTAAGTAATTTCCTATCCTTTTACACGTCAGAAAACTGATTTAAACCAATGGTAAACCATCACCCTCCCTACAGTCTAAAGTCTATACCGTCGCAGCTCCTTTTGGATGGATTCGTTAAGCCAGTGCATTGCTATAGGAAAACTTGTGGCCTTCTTATTTGGCTTGCCAGGCAAGATGGTCAGGATTCAGCCGGTGATGCGGTGGTCATCATCAAGTCTTTTCGTGGACCGTGCAAGATAAAGGTATCTACGGAAAACCTGAACATCATGTATGTTAAATGTGCACCCCTCCCTCCATTTTTAATATGACTGCCTGGCATTGTACAGCTTATGAACAGCCAGCATTTTATGATAGAAGAATGGAACGCAATAATTGAGAAACACTAGCGCTTGGGTAAACGCCGTTGCCGGTGGGCTGCCTGGCAAAAGCAATGGTTTGAGTGTCAACATATCCAAACGTGATCAATGTTTCTGCAACTGTTCACTGTGATAGGTAACCAATCCTAGAGAATATTTTTATCAAGTCCTTTTGGCCAAACATGCTATTTTCCAGGTAGAGTTGTTGGGTCTTCGTCGGATTCGATTCAGATTTTTCAGTTCTTCCTACCCCAGTTTTTCAACGAGCATCTCTCTATACAAAATAAAATAAAATAAATCTATGAATCAAAATAAACATTTATAAAAAAATTGGATCAAATTTATTGTTGTAGGTGTTTTGCAATTTAGTCTTATTTCTTTTGATTTGGGATTATTATTATAATTTCAATACTAATTTCATCTAATTAGGCCACTGAAGAGTGATTGAAAGGAAAAAATTTGAAAAATAAATACGCACAAAGAATGTGCCTGTGAGTAGGACTTGTGCGTGCTAGAGAGTGAAAGAATGACCATGTCGTGTTTTTGTGCCAGTGATGCTTGCATGTCTGTTAACATATGTTAAACAAGGAGGTAAATCATTCTTTTTTTCTTGTGTAAAATGCAAGGATAAGAAAATTGAATTAAGCACTTATTTGTAGGAAAAGTAAAAAAGGGACCAAATTAATTTTTTTCATATTTCTTAAATAATAAGGACCAAAATGTACATTAATCAAATAATCCACACTCCACAGCGTTGGTGATACCAACCAAAGAATGACAATCATGTAGCATGCCGGATGATATGAATACAACAAACAATTCAAGGACTTTTTAAATACAATAAAAAAGAAAGAAAGTACAAGAAGAAATACAAAGTTAACCAAATTATTATTGCTTCATTTGACATAAAGATGAGATGTTGGGATGATCCATGAATTATTTTCATAATAAGTGTTATATTATCATTAAATGTAAAAACAAAACTTTGTAATTTCTGATAGAAAAATAAAGTTTTATTTAACGTACATGGCTAATTAAATATAATTAGAAAATAATTGAAAATACTAAGAAAACCAACTCAAGGGGTCTATGACATAGTTATCAATCCTGATTTGATGTTGTAGGTTAATATAAATTTTAGAATCTTAATCAAGTTTAATTTATAAAAATATCAACCTTATAACTAACTCCAAGAAAATTAATCATTCTATTAGATTAACTTGAAATCTGGATGACTGGCAAAACTCTATATATTTTTATAAAAAAATTATGTTTTTTAAATGTAGAATAAAAATAATTTTTGATTTAAATATTTCAATTAAAAAAATAAAATAATATTTTTTAAATACAGATAAAAAACCGTTTAAAATAATTTTTTAAATTTTATTATTTACAATATATATAATCTATATTTAAATGAATATTTTTGGATTTTTTTCCTGTGAAATATTAAAATTTTATTTTTTAAAATTAATCTAAATAAACTTAAATAATTTAAATCTAATTCCTTGATTGGGTCATCCCGGAACATGTTTGATAACTATGGCCCATGGACATAGCAAGGTAACAACGAGCCAGCGAAGTTAATATGCGTGGGCCTTCACCTTTTCGTTTAGAAAATTAATTAATTAATTAATTCTTACCCAAACACTACATCAATATTTGAAAATTTAAATTTGAACTTTATAGTTTTTTTTTTTATCATCTAAGCTCACAAAAGACTAGTTTAGGATTAATGAAAATTAAATTGTATTTTATTTCATAACATCGAGAGTAGAGTAATAAGTTCAGTAGATTAAATTCAAATAATTTTTTATTAATTTATAAAAATTAATTTTTATAATTTTAATATAATTTGCTGTGATAAATCAACATATAAATATTAAAATAAACACTACATCAATATTTGAAAAAATGATTAAAAAACTGACTGGATCCGCAACGCAGTATGGCCAATGATATAGTAACTGTTATCAATCCTAGATTGGGAAATGACCCCGCGAAGGGATTGGATTTCAAGTTACAAAGATAAATCTATATTTATCTGTATCAATCTAGAAAAATTTCAAAATAATATTTAAAAATTTTATATTTCATATAGATTTTTTAAAAAATAATAAATTAAATCATATGAATATAAAACATATTTATTATAAATAATAAAATTTAAAAGTTATTTAATGTTTAAACTAAAAATAATTTTTTACATTAAGTAAAATATATATATTAAAAGATTTTAAATCCTACTAAATAAATAAAATATTTTTCTAATGTTCATACATTAAATTTTAAAATAAATTAATAATTAATTGAAAATATAAAAAAAACACATTTAAAAAATAAATCTATGTTAATTAGGTTTAATACTTCAAATCAAAGTAAAATAGGATGAGATCCAAGTTAAGCACGGATAGCAAGGTTTTGGATCAATTTATCTATGTACTCGCATAGAGAGCGAGATCTACAAGGACAAATAAAGCTTTTTAAGGTCTTTACTTCTCAAGAACATGGAGTCTGGACAGTCGAGTCTCCCACTGTTTACGTTTAAGCTAATCAAGACATACGAGTTAAAATTAAACGAATAAAAACAAACCTCAACCTAACTAACGAAATAAATGACCAGAAAATAATGAAAAAATGGGGTTAAATCCAGGCAAAACTAGGTTGTCGATGCATGAAAAGCAACGGGAAAAAGCAAACTCAAATTGAAAAATCAAAATGGGAATGGAGAGGTGAGCATCAGTTTTAAAAAGCTCGAATTTTGAAGCTTCATGGATTAATCAGCAATCAAAATATTAAAATCCTCATCATCTGCTCAGATCCTCCGCACCTTCCTAAATAAAGTCAAAACCAGAAACAAGAGAGAGAGGCAGCTAAATTACACAGAGAGTAGAGCGAGCGTACAAAACAGATATGAAACCAGATAAAAAATCTCGAATCTCGCTTCCGAATTGAGGCCAAAGTGGCTATAAGGTGCTTTATATAGAGCAGAGAGGGTCCGGAAACCCTAATAACCAAAACAAACCTAAAACCGACGCCGTTTCTTCTTAAAACTTGAACGCGCGGCGTCTATAGAAGAAGCACTTGCGGGTTCTAAGGTACTCCAATTTTTCACGTTTTATCGTCTGAATACATAAACTCCAACTTTTATCATATAAGTTTCATTGGATCATCTAATGAAAGGATAATTATAAAAATAAACTCTTTTATATTATTATTACCGGTTATAATTTAAAGAATTATATCATATATCCCTAGTTAACACAAATTTCAATTCTAATGAATTAAACAACACTCTCATATATATTAAAAATAAAAACACTACTACAAAAGATTTAGCTCAAGACAAGCTTATAATATTAGTTTAATAGCAAATTAATTATTATTAATTTGATGAAGAAGCTTTAATATAAATATTATCAAAGCTCTTTAATTATTAAATGAATTATAATAGCAATACAATAAATAATTAGATATATATTTTTAAAATGATATTAAATATTAGGACACATAAAATTTATATTCTAGAAGATAATTGCAATTTTTGAACCAAACTACATGTTTTTTTTTTTTTTTAACATCACTCCTGTAATAGGATGTCCGTCAATTGCCTCGTAAGTTCTCCGTGATTGATTCATGATTTGGTGAGATGCCATCTGGGAAGGTGACTGCTTGT